GCGAATAAGCCTGCTGCTGGTTTAGAGCTGTTTGAAGGAGATCTCTGGCCCATCGTGCCTCAATCGCAACTGGTGATTCGCCGTCGGTTGGGAGGGCTGCCAACTGTGAAGCGGCGGCCACAATGTTGTCCAACGGGTTGGAGTAATGCCCGAGGGGTGTTGGAACATACTGTGGCACAATGTTGTTTTGACGAGGCGGGTCCATCGTGCGCGGCTGAACCGGCGCTCCTATTCCTGGCGCATCCGTTCGGTTTAATATTGGTTGGTTACTAGTTCCTGCTCCTGGCATGTTGAAGAGATTTCTTGGCTCATAACTCGGCGGAAGATGCGATCGGTATCTTCTTCTCATGACTTCCTCTGAAGCATTCTGATCCAGCCTAAGCCGGTAGGCCTGAGCTTCCAACTCGGCCCGTTCTATAGCCATCCTAGCGTTCTCTGCCGCTAGGTCCGCTTTAGCCTGAGTTATCTGATCTTTCACCTTTGCGATCTCCGCATTGTGCTGATCTCGGGCTGCTGCATCCACCTCCGCGGCCATCAGTGTTGCCAAAGCGTCGAACAAGTCAGACAGAACTTGAGCCGGAGGTGGCGCAGAGCTCCCTGCTCCTGCCGGCATGGCTGTTGCTGAACCGGAGAGCATTGCTGCGGCGGTTGATGAGTGGGGCGCTGATTATGTACCGGCCATGAAGATAGCGGCCCGGTTTGGCAGATTAGGGGAGTCCAGAATACTGTTGCCCTCGGAACCTCCACTAAACCGGCCATCCTGCAACTGATAGAGCGATTCGGTTTCTCCAGAAGACTCGTCGTCGGAGCAGACAACAGTTTCTCCATGGGATGCTGGTCCGTCCTCATATTCTGCTCCATGGACGACACCTACGAAAACATGCTTTGCTATGGGCCGAACCGGGGAAGGGCTTGCACGCTGAGCCGTCTCGATTGAATCGGCCTCGAGGCCCGGTTCAAGGCCCGGTTCGCCAATCTTGCCGATGAAGACGTGAATCCCACCAAAGGGGACCTGGTACCCGTATTCGATTGAATCGGCCTCGGGGCCCCATCCCGCGTTGTCGATGTAGAGTTTGCCGCGACGACTCTTCGTCATCTGGCCCACAGCGTATCCCTTGAGTCCATCAAAGCTACCCTTCAAGAACTCGAAACCATCGTGCGATAGCCCCATGGTGGGCGCCAACTGTCGTGGATTTGTCACGGCAAATGTCCTTGTGAAAGGACTTAGTCATGGAGCCATCGCAACGGGTTAGCTTAAAGGGGTTAAACCGGATAAGGGGACACGGGGAGTTTATACTAGTTCGGCCCCTTCGATGAAGGTAAAAGCCTACGTCTAGTTGTGATTGGTATTGTTAGGGTTTCGATGACCAGTGAGCGAATCCGCTTTGAATGGCCCTCGAGTTGTTGTTTTTTCCTCCTCAAACCGTGGCCGGGTCGTCCCTTTATATACACAGGTTGACGCCCGCCGGTTTACAGAGTCCCGAGGCCGGATCATAGAGGTGTCCGGCTCGGTCTCTATTCCTCTAACTTACAATACAAGTTTACATGATAAAGTCGGTTCACATCTACAGGCTTTAATCCGTCTTTGGGCCTTGGGCCTTCTTAAAGCGCCAGGATCTTCTCATCTTCATGGGCTTCAATCTTCATGGAGCTAATCTGGCCATGCCTAGCCGGTTTACCTCCAGTAACTATATCCCCAACACTGCCCGTTTCTTTTGTTCCTCACAAACAGTTAATTGAGCTGGACCATATGCCCTGCATCGCACACACAACTAAAATCTGAATTGTGTTTAATGCATCCTCCATCGCAAAAGTTTTGCACCTTTTTCATGGTTTTTTACACCACCGTTTGCGATTATGGCATCGCACACGGATTCGTTGAAGGGTCTCTGATCCTAGTCTTGCGTTAGCACCATCCTGCAATAGTGTGTAGGTGGTCCTTGAAGATGCGGAGTGTGCTGAGGAGCATGTTCTCAATTTCAAGGGATCGATCAAGGGTCATCGAGTGCTCAACCGCAACAGGGCATGCGGCCATTTGGCACTGATTACCGACTACTTTTCCCTTGATGCACTCTTCGTTGACCATTTTGGCCGGCGTTTTCGAATGCGCAAGACTGTCTTCGTTCGTTTGTACCATAGCGTCCAGTCCTATGATGACTACTTCGTCTTGAAGAAGGACGGTGTGGGAACGATTGGCTTCTCTGGTTACCAGAAGTGCACAGCCGCACTCTGGATGCTTGCATATGGCACGATCGCTGATTCGTGGGATGAGTACCTACGGATGTCTGGGAGCACATGCGGAGATGCCATGGTCAGATTTGCAACTTCCATGGTTGAGGTGTTTGGACCTCGGTACCTAAGAGAACCAACTGTGCCAGGCACCGAGAGTCTCTTGGCAATCTTAGAAGCAAAAGGGTGCCCAGGTTTGCTTGGATCTCTTGACTGCATGCATTGAAAATGAAAGAACTGCCCAAAGGCTTTACAAGGTCAATATCACGGTCGTGTTAAGAAGCCCACCATCATTCTTGAAGCAGTTGCATCACATGATCTTTGGATTTGGCATATGCCCGGGTCTCACAATGACATGAATGTGCTCCAACAATCAGCATTGTTTGCGAGGATAACTGAAGGAAAAGTTCCTCCTTGCCACTATACTATCAATGGACATGAGTACAACATGGAATACTATCTGGTTGACGATATCTATCCTCCATGGGCTATCTTTATCAGCACCATCTCTAACACAGTTAGCTAGAAAAAGTCTCATTTTGCCCAAAGACAAGAAGCAGCTAGAAAGATGTCGAGAGACATTTGGAATTCCGCATATCCTTTTTGCAGTTGTTCGTGGACCTGCCAAACAATGGGATCCGGAGACCTTATGGGAGGTGATGACATGTTGTGTGGTCATGCACAACAATGGCCGTCGAGGATGAGGGTGAGGATGCTGCCGCAGCTCTAGAATATGAGAACATGGGTAATCCTATCAAACTTCCAGACCAGAATCCAGCCACATTTGAAGAGTTTATTCAAATGCATCAACAAATTCGGCATCGACCAACTCACAAACAGCTGAAGGAAGATCTGATTAAGCATTAATGGACAGTTAAAGGGGACAACAATGTTGAAATGTAATATTTGAACTTTTTAAAATTTGAGCTAGTGTTGCATGCAGCTATTTGAACGTTTGTACTCTATGTATGCGGCTATTTGAACGTGTGGACTTAAAAAAATGAGTGAGTGCAGCTACTTGAACACTTGAATTGTATGTATGCGGCTATTTGAATGTGCAGACTTGAAAAAAAATGAGTGAGGCCGGATGCATGCAAGCAGCTTGGATGGCAGCCTCCCACATCAGGCGGCTTGGATGGCAGCCTCCCACATCCGTGTCCGCGAACTAGTCCCCAGGCACCGTCCATAGACGAATGGGAGAGGAAATTTACGGGTCACCGTTGGAGATGACCTGAGTCACTTAATTTACTCGATTAAAGACATAACATGCGCAGTGGGTTTGCACATCCACTATTTCATCGAGTGAATCAAGTGCCACTTGTTCCTCTTCTTTACATCAATGCATGCATTTAACTTCTTTCAGCGGATTAGCAAGTCGAGATTACTGAAGTGTCACGGTTACGGCAATTTCTGTCCAGACACGAATACATGGAAGTTCCAAGGTTCAATCTCGAAAAAGGAGAAAAGTATCAGATTTCATATCATCCTCCAAGCACCAATGGGCAGCCATGAACATCACAATTTTCCAAGTACTCATTTGCTATTATTATTTTTATTACACCGATTCTCTGGAATCTGTGCAGTTCGCCAGCAAGCAGTTGGAGCAATGTCTTTTGGAGGCCATCTTCTAGAAGAACTCTTCATAGCTCTCTATGGTGAACGATTGCCATCCATCAAGAGTGAGTGCCTTTGCTCATATCAGTGGATTCCTATTGACATCTTTGTACAGCAGGTACCTAGACTTGGTTTTACCAAGGGCAGCATACCTGGAACAGCAAGGCAACAGCCATGAGCTGCCTACAAAAGCCAAGTCCATCAATGATGAACGCAAAGTTCGCACACACTAACCATTGAGGCACAAATGGCGCCATCCAAATGGTATCGCCTGCTTGCACCGGATACCTGTATCATCAATGCAAAATACTCTATAGTGGAATATGGAACATTATGGAATATATGCCAGTAGCAAACAGCAGTTGACGTTTTACTTTCAGGAAAGAACACTGTATGTTTGGCTTTGAGAACATAATGTCACAATTCTAAGTCAAAAATATGCAAACATTTGAAGGGCAATGGACGGAAAAAGAATAATAATAGATGGTAAATTATGCATATTAAAAACAATCCCGCATATTACTCCCTCCATCCCAAAATAAGTGTCTCAACCTTAGTACAACTTTATACTAAAGTTAGTACAAAGTTGAGACATTTATTTTGGAACGGAGGGAGTAGAAGTTACTGTGTGTCAGCACACCTGACATGGCGGCCCCGCCACGCAGCGACCCCAACGGCTCGCCCACGCCACCAAGACTGCCGCGGGCTCGCAAGAGCAACCCTCGAGTGAGTGGGCCGGAGTGGGTGTAAGTGTGGCCCGGCCCAGCGGCTGCCACTACTTAACCTAGCCTCGACCTCCAAGCCAATCATCTAGTGGATCAGGCAAACAACAACAGGCGGCTACCTACTTTCCAATTCCCCATTCTTGTAATCCCTAGTTCGTTCTAATCCAATATAGCTATCCGAATTCGAGTTACTAGAATCCGATCAAGAGAACTCCATCCAGTCCCTCACATCTGGTATCAGAGACAACCACCACCACTTCCCTACTCCGATCTGGCTCTGTTCGTCGAAACCAGGCGTCTTCGTCAAGCCCGCGTATAGATCGAGGCCATGGATTCCACCATGAAGGAGTACATGGACAAGATCACCAAGTCCATGGACGAGTTCCGCATCGAGCTCCGAGGCAACACGGCCGCGATCCACGCGCACACGGCCAAGCTGGACGATCTGGTTGCATGGCGGCCCGATCTGGAGCATCGCGTCGATCAGCTCACCAACGCGGTAGCGGAACTGCAACAAGGGCGACCGCCTGCGGCGGCGGCGCTCGGTGTGGCACCGCAGGGATCGTCGACGACTGCTCCCACCCTCGCTGCGGTCGGCGTTCACCCTGGCGCCGAACCGACCGCGCAGGGGCGGCCACACGGGTCCGAGGACCACTGCGACGCCTTCCTCCACCGGGAGCAGAGGCTGGCCACGCCGCCAGCGCCCCTCCCGGGCACTGGTCAGTACTCCCTGCAGTCGCCTGGTCCTGTAGTTTCCCCTTTCTCTCATGCTAGTCAACTGCTCGCCGGATTGGGACAAGCCCATCCTTCTGCGGTGTTTCCACAGTTCGCCGGCGAGAACCCAAAACTGTGGAAGACATTATGTGAGCAGTACTTCGGCATGTTTGGAATTCATTCCACATTTTGGGTACCCATGGCTGCACTCAATTTCTCTGGCCCTGCATCCATATGGTTGCAATTAGTTCAGAACAAATTGTCTGACTACGATTGGGAATCCTTTGCTACGATTGGGAATCCTTTGCTGCTTTACTCTGTACGCGATTTGGTAGAGACAGCATCAGCATCTGATCCGTCAGTTCTATACAATTCGACAGACCACTTCGGTTGCAGATTATATTGAGCGTTTTGAATCAATAATGAATCATTTGGTCTCATACTCTGACAACACTCACCCGTATTTTTACTTGACTCGTTTTGTCGAGGGTCTTCGGGCGGACATCCGTGCTGTGGTTCTGGTGCAGAGACCACCGGATCTGGATACGGCGTGTTCGCTCGCCTTGCTCCAGGAGGAAGTCGCGGGATGCAGATGCCATCACCGCGTGCGGTGGACACGGGACCGCGACCAAGAGGAGCGCTTCCTCTACCACCTCCTCCACCGCGCCCGACGCCTGCTCCAGCAACACCCGCTGCTGTCGATCGTCGTGGACTCGACGGCGCCCGCACGGACAGCTCCAAGGTCAAGGCGCTACGTGAGTATCGACGTGCTCGAGGGCTCTGCTTCAAATGCGGTGAGCGCTGGGGCCATGATCATACATGCCCCACCACCGTACAACTCCACGTGGTCGAGGAACTTCTGGAACTCTTCGGCATCGATCCTGTTCTTGATCATGAGCAAACGCAGCCGGTGGAGACTGCTATGGCCATTTCCAAGCATGCCCTGACAGGTGACACATCGCCAAAGGCATTCCAAGTTCACGCATGGCTCCAGGGGCACGAAATACTCATGCTGGTGGACTCCGGCAGCTCCACATCATTTGTAGATGCTCAATTGGCTGCCAGATTGGAAGGAGTGGTTCCATTGGCTCGTGCAGGGCGTGTCAAAGTGGCAGGCGGAGGGGAACTTCAATGCCGAGCTTCCATTCCTCAGTGCAAGTAGTTTTCGCAAGGACATGAGTTTGTGACTGATATGAAGGTTCTGGAATTGGGTACTTATGCTGCCATCTTTGGAATGGACTGGTTGGAGCAGAACAGCCCGATGACAGTCGACTGGAAGGGCAAGCACATTGCTATTCCATCACCTGGTGGGGTAGTGCATATCCATCAACTTCTTCATGTCCGGTTATCAACAGTATGCAGCTAGGCAGCTTGTGTCGCCAAGGGGCTGTCTCACACATGGTTCAGTTGTATCAAGTCACCTTGGGGGACCGAGAAGCACAAGAGGCTACCCTCGAATGCATTCAGGCGATACTGGAGCAATACCCTGATGTTTTTCAAGAACCAGAAGGGCTTCCCCCTCGGCATAACTGTGACCATCACATACCACTGGTGCTGGGGGCACAGCCAGTGAACATTCGTCCATACCGGCACAAACCTGAGCATAAGACAGAGATTGAGGAACAAGTGGCAGAACTACTCAAACAGGGTGTCATCAGACGCAGTGCTAGCCCGTTTGCATCCCCGGTGATTTTAGTAAAAAAGAAGGACGGCACATGACGCCTCTGCGTAGATTATCGCCATCTCAATGCTATGACCACAGTGCCCAAATTTCCAGTACCAGTAATTGAGGAGCTGCTTGACGAACTACACGGAGCAGTCTGGTTCTCCAAACTTGATCTTCGAGCAGGCTATCACCAGATCCGTATTGCCGACGGTGAAGAATACAAAACAGCCTTCACAACTCATTCTGGGCACTTCGAGTTCCTGGTGCTATCGTTTGGACTGGCAGGAGGACCGGCGACGTTTATAGGGGCTGTTACTGACACCTTGCATCCTCTCTTACGCAAGTGTGTGCTGCTGTTCTTTGACGACATACTAGTCTTCAGCCGTACTTTGAAGGATCATGCTGCCCATCTGGCGCAAGTTTTGCAGCTGTTGCGTCGCGACCAATGGAAGGTCAAGGCTTCGAAATGTTGTTTTGGCCAGCGCCAGTTATCTTACCTGGGCCACGTGATCAGTGACAAAGGTGTGGCCACCGAGCCAAGCAAAGTGCAGGCAGTAGCTCAATGGCCTACACCAGTGAATGTTAAGGAAGTCAGGCGTTTCCTAGGCCTGGCAGGATACTAGCGCCGATTCGTACGACACTTTGGCATTGTGGCGCGGCCAATGTTCAACCTCCTCAAGAAAGGACCCCTGTTTGTCTGGACGCAAGCGACTGAGGAGTCATTCCAACTACTGAAACAAGGTCTTGTTACTGCTCCTGTACTTGCCCTACCGGACTTCTCAAAGCCTTTTGTCGTCGAAACAGATGCATGCGACGCTGGCGTCGGGGCAATCCTGCAGCAACAGGGGCACCCAATTGCCTATATGAGCAAAGCACTGTCACCCAAGTATAGGGGGTTGTCCACCTATGAAAAAGAATATCTGGCAGTGGTAGTAGCCGTAGACCAATGGCGCCCATATCTCCAACACAGCGAATTCGTCATACAGACTGATCAGAAGAGCCTGGTGCATTTAGAAGAGCAAAGACTCACGACCCCTTGGCAGCAAAAAGCATTTACCAAGCTTCTCGGTCTTCGCTACACCATCAAGTACAGAAAAGGGACAGAAAATGGGGGTGCGGATGCTCTTTCCCGTGCTACCCACGCTGAGCAATTGCAAGCCATATCCTCTTGTCAACCTAGTTGGATGGAAGACATCATTGCCAGCTACAATTCAAATCCACAAGCCCAGAAACTGCTGGAACAGTTAGCCATTAGAGCAGATCCAAAAGGACGCTTCACTCTCGAGCAAGGCATCTTACGATTCAGGGGACGCATCTGGCTAGGAGGCAGCACAGCAATGCAACAGCAGATTATCAAGGCGTTTCATGATACCCCTCTTGGAGGCCACTCGGGCTTCCCAGTAACATGGCGCCGGGTACGCCGTCTCTTTGCTTGGGCCAAAATGAAAACACACATTCAACACTATATACGTTGCTGCCCTACTTGCCAACAGGCCAAGCCAGACCGAGCCGCTTACCCTGGACTGCTCGAACCCTTGCCGGTGCCCAAGGAATCCTGGGAGATGATCACAATGGATTTCATCGACGGACTCCCAACTTTGGAGGTGTGAACTGCATTCTGGTAATCGTCGACAAGCTGACAAAATTTGCTCACTTTCTGCCCCTAGCACACCCTTATACAGCCTCCAAAGTAGCACTGCTATACATGAACCAAGTCTACCGGCTACATGGATTTCCAGGGTCGATTGTGTCTGACCGTGATCCAGTATTTACAAGTCATTTCTGGCAAGAACTCTTCAAGTATGCAGGCACGGGTCTCAGAATGAGTTCAGCCAACCACCCGCAGACGGATGGCCAGACGGAGAGGGTTAACCAGTGCCTGGAAACCTTCCTCCACTGCTTCACGCAGGCGTGTCCCCGTCGATGGAGCTACTGGATTCCACTTGCCCAATTCTGGTACAACTCTTCCCATCATTCTGCCATTGGGATGTCACCATTTCGTGCCATGTATGGACATGAACCACGACAATGGGGGATTACTTCAACGACCGCTTGTTCAGTTCCGGCCCTTCGTTCTTGGCTGGATGAACGCGTTGTTGTGCAAGACCTGCTCCAACAGCATCTTCACCGAGCGAGGCAGTGCATGAAGCAACAAGCTGACAAAAAACGATCATTCCGAGCCTTTGAGGTGGGCAACTCAGTTTATCTTAAGCTGCAACCTTATATCCAAACTTCAGTGGCTTCCCGCGCCTGTCACAAGCTGGCCTTCCGTTTCTTTGGGCCCTTCAAGATTATTGGGCGGGTCAACGAGGTGGCCTACAAGCTTCAGCTGCCACCCCAGGCGCAAGTGCACCCCGTAGTGAGCTCCCAACTTATCCTGACATACCTTCAGTGCCAGTGGCAGTCCTTGAACGTCGCTGGCGCAAACGGCGCGGGGCTATGGTGGAACAAGTGCTGGTCCGGTGATCCAACCCAGCAGCAGTGGCTGATTCATGGGAGGACAAAGTGGCTCTGCAAGCTCGATTCCCAGCCGCTGAAGCTTGGGGACAAGCTTCTGCTCAAGAAGGGGGGGATGTCAGCACACCTGACATGGCGGCCCCGCCATGCAGCGACCCCAACGGCTCGCCCACGCCACCAAGACTGCCGCGGGCTCGCAAGAGCAACCCTCGAGTGAGTGGGCCGGAGTGGGTGTAAGTGTGGCCCGGCCCAGCGGCTGCCACTACTTAACCTAGCCTCGACCTCCAAGCCAATCATCCAGTGGATCAGGCAAACGGCAACGGTGGCTACCTACTTTCCAATTCCCCATTCTTGTAATCCCTAGTTCGTTGTAATCCAATACAGCTATCCGAATTCGAGCTACTAGTGAATCCGATCGAGAGAACTCCATCCAGTCCCTCACACTGTGTGTCAATAAGGTGGAGTAATTGCCTGTTCGGCAATGACTATGGAGCGCACATCTTCTAGTGCATCAGAACCAAGATATGACCTCTTTCATGAAACAACTTCCATCTCTAGTCATAAAACAAACAAGAAAATTTATACTGCATCCTTACCAGCTATTTCCCAATCGATATATTCCTTGTCCCTCTAAAAGCAGCAGCCCATGTTGATTGTAATGAACCTCCTAGTAGAATCAAATCGAAAAAGAAGACTGAGGCTTCAGAATAGGATCGGTGTTACTGCTGTGAACGTATGCATAGAAAATAGCATCACATATCCTCTGGTGAGAAGTTTTAGATTAAAAAACAGAATATGATCACAGTTCGCCCCATCAAACAGGCATTATCAAAATTATTAAAAGTAACATAATATACACACAAAGATGTACATACCTTCACATTGAGATACTCGCCTGGCTGAAAGTCCATTATCTGTAAGTGAGGGAGAAGCATATCAAGAAAGTCGTTCTTCAATCAACATTCAGAAGCAGACACTTCTAATCTGAATGAACAACTTCAGACTTTATGTTATGTTGTGGGGCCCACAACACCTAACCCGAAAATAAGCCATCAATGTAATTCTGAGTTGTACGGTATATTTTGTAAGATTCTTACTGGTCCCCTCTAATAAGAGTGGCGCAAAACCTTTTCCCACAACAAATGCTTCAACATGTAAAATATTTCTTTGTTCAGCTGAAAGTCAGTGAACAACTCCCCTTTTATTGTGATGGAAGTTGATGATTAACTCGAAGTGGACAAGAAATGATTTTAAATAAAATGCCTGGTTGGCTGGAACTCAACGTTGGGTCGAACAATTTATGACACAATAAGCAACTTAACCAGCAAAAGATAATCAAACTTACATGAATATTAAAGTCATAAGGTAGAGAAGTGGGTAGCAGCTTCCTCAGCTCAAATACCTGGTGAACAAGAGGCAAAGAATTTCAGGCCAGCACAGAAGACGGAACATTTTAACAGGAAAGAAAGCAACAATGTTTTATGGACGTTCAAAGTTGGCAAGGAGTCTATGTGGCAAAGACGATCAGAAACAAGACAAATTTGTGAGTGAGAGCAAGCCACATGTTAATATATACATCCATAAGTTTGTTGATTAGTGGTTCCTTCATCTGGAATACATGTAGTACTATATAACAAAGACTTAATAAATGGCAGGCAATCCAAGTTAATAGGATCCTAGATATTGTAGGAAAGATGATGCAAAGAAAAATGTTGTACCTCTCCTGGGGTTTCAAGGAGGGGTTGCTTATCTGTTGAACCAACAACTAGATCAGCATGGTAATCCCCAATGGCTGTGTACCTAAAGGAACATAATTGCAACAGAACTTGGTATTAATTGAGTTAGCAGAAAACAGCAAAAAAGCACTGATGAAAGACACTTGTACAGTTGTACCTGAGTTAAGTGAATCGTGTTCAGAATAAAAGGGGAAAAGGGGCAATGGTTACAATAATAATTGACTAGATGTAGGCCAATATTTGTCATGGGAGGAAGGGAATGGGCTCCGCTCCGCTCCGCTCTCCCACCTAGCTCCGCTTAGCCCTCCCCCTCCACCAACCTCGCCGGCGTCCCCTGCAAGCCCCGGCGCCACCCAGCCTTCCTCCTCCACCAGCCCCACCATCGACCCCCCCCCCCAAGCCCGCGGCCATGGCGTCCTCTGGTGCTGACCCTGTCGACCGCCGAGCGACCCTCTCCGGCGAGCGCGTGTCCTCCGGTGACCGCTGTCTCGACTCGGGGAGCGAGTCCTCCGCGCGCTCGTACAGCGACGTCGCCCGGACTCCGCCTCCGCCCCCTGCGCCTCCGGTGACGGCTGCCCCAAGCCACGCGGCGGAACCGAGCAGGCGGCCTGCCAAGACCCGCCTCGGCCCACGCTCGGAGGTGCACCGCGTCTCCAATGGTACCGCGATCGACGCCGACGGCTTCCAACAGCCGAGGCGACACAACCGCCGTCGCCCCCGCCCGGCTGCCACGCCCAGCCCTCCGCCACTCCGCCGCCGCAACCCCTCCCCTGAGGAGGTCGCCGGCCTCTGCTTCCGCTGCCTGGACCACCGCCATCGCGTGCGCGACTGCACCAATGAAATCCGGTGCAGACGCTGCCTCACCTCCGGCCACGACTCCCGCTCCTGCGACGGTCTGCGCCCCGGGAACAGCAGGGGCCGCGCCAGCCCACCGCCTCGCCGCCGCGTCGTCTCGGCCACGCCTCCCACCCCTCCCGCAGCCCAGATGGTCCTCGCGCCCGCGCCGCGCTCCCCGGAGCCCGTGCGAGTCGTCATGGCGCACTCCGTCGAGATGGAGGAGGCCGAGCAGGTGCTTGCCCGCGCAATGGTGGCCTCCATCACCGGCAACAGGCCATCCGTGTCCACGACCGAGGTGTCCGACCTGCTCATCAGCGCGCTCGAGCTCTCGGAGGGTGACTTCACGGTCCACGAGCACCACCCCGAGGATTTCCTTATCCTCTGCTCCTCCCACACCACCAAGCGCCGCCTCGACGGCGACCACTTCATCAACTCTCCGTGCTTCTCCCTTTCACTCCGGCCATGGAGCAAGCTCGCCCATGCCGGCTCTGGTGTGTTCGAGTACCGCGTTGAGCTAGAACTCCGCGGCATTCCAGCCCAAGCCTGGCACCTGTCAACAGCGGAGCACATTTTGGGGGAAAGCTGTTGGATCGAGCGTCTGCATCCTCGCACGCGCTCGCGGGACGACCTGGCCACCTTCCGGCTATCTGGCCGCACGCACGACCCCGCCCACATCCGCCGCACCGCCATCCTCGAGATCGTCGAGCAGATTCCCTCGCGCATAAGCTCCGAAGCGCCGACCATCAGGATGCTCACGTTCCCCATCTCCGTTGTGATCACGCGCGCCGACATGATCCAGCCGGTCTCCATCGGGTTCCAGGCCGACACCGACCGCGACAGGAGTTGCGCCGGTAACCCACCAGGCCCAGACCAAGGACCCGGCCGCGGACGCGCCCGCCGACGCGGCCGCAAGCGACGGAGGACTGATGCGCAGCCGGGCGGGCGCGCGGATGGCATGGCCGTCGATTCGCTGGGCTGGCACGCCGGCGACCGCTCCGGCCGCATTGACGGGGTGAACACGGCCTCCTCTTGGCCCACTCCGGCCGGCGTGGTGCCGCGGCCGCCCGCGCCCACCACGAGGAACGGCATGCTGCCATGGCCAGGTCAGCAGGGGCCCACCCAATCTCGTCGCCGCTCCAGAAAATGGAAAAGCAAGAGAAGGCAAAGGCACACTTTTGGCATGGACCAGGCGCGCAAGGCTGCGACCGCCACAGGAGATGCCAGGGTCGGGGCCACCACGGCTGCTGGCGAGACGTCATTGGCTGCAGGGCCATCAGAAGCCTCCACAGATTCAAACTCCGCCCCAGCCCCCGAGCCCGAGGAGGATCCCGCTGGGCCAACCGCTGGCTCACATGATCCGATGGCTTGTCGGGACCTGGCCGCCCTGAGCGAGGTGCCAGACTCGCAGCCTGAGGAGCCAGCCGAGCAGACCGGCCTGTCGGGACAAAGCGGTTCTTTGCACACGTACTCCCCGTCAGCGGGACCGGGCGCATGCGCTGACCTGTCCACGCGGCCCCACCCCCCGCGACGCGCCAGATGGGGAGATGCGAGAGGCCACAACCCCTGCCTGCCCGACAGGCCTTGCTGATGAAGGACCGCCCTCGCCGCCCTCCCCACCAAGAAACCCCATCGCAGCTGATGGGCCGCCGACCCCACCCTCCCCATCAAGAGGCCCCATTACAATCTTGCAACGGGGTCAGGCCCAGCATGCGACGCCAGGAAGGCCCAACAACCCCACCACACCAGTTGCCCCCGTGGCCGCATGCACCACCCCTAGTCCGCGTCCAACTGTGCCTGATCGCTATGCTTCTCCGCCCATCACTCTCCGCCGCACCAGAGGCCGCGCTGCGCCGCAACGATCATGGACGTTGGGCGAATTCCTTGCCGCCGCCACTAAGCAGGTATGCGCGGCGCTACCGACACCTGGGAAACAGCCGCGTCGCCCGCTTAACTACTCCCCTCGACGAGGACGCTCGGCATCTGCCACCACCGCTGGGCCACCGCCTACCGCCGAGCGAAGGGCGCAGGTGCAACTTCTCCGCACGCTGGGGATCGTGGGCATCAACCAGAAGATAGCAACGACCGAGATGAAGACTTATGAAGGAATGTTCGCGGTACCCATCCCGTTGACGGTGATCAAGGCCATCGCGACCCTGGTTGATCGTGAGATCCCAGCGTGCCTCGCTGCGTCGCCTACAATCTCGGCGCGCGTCGATAACACAGACGCGAACTAGGCCCGGCCGGCTACCTTACCGTCAATCCCGTTCCCATGGATCACGGCCTTAAGGTCGCTGTTTGGAATGTACGCGGACTCAATGCGCGCGCCCGACGCATCGCCATTAGATCGCTACTGGACGCCACTGGGGCATCGGTTGTATGCTTGCAGGAGACTAAAATGGCGTTGATTTGTTCGTCTGTTGTCCTGGATACTCTTGGACCAGAATTTGACGACTACACCTACCTCCCGGCGCTGGGCACACGCGGCGGTATCCTCCTGGCTTGGAAGAGCAGGGCCGTGACTATCACGGACCCGGTATTCACCACGAATGCGATCACAGGCAAGGTGACCACGGCCACCGGCGCGCCTTGGTGGGCTGACCGTCGTATACGGACCCTAAGAGGACGCGGATAAGATCTCATTCATGCAGGAGTTGCGTGACATCCGTGCGGATTGCATTGGACCTTGGATGCTATGTGGAGACTTTAACCTCATCTATCGCGCGGAGGACAAGAGCAGCGGCGGATTGAACCGGCGCATGATGGGCAGGTTTCGCCGCGTCATTAACGACCTCGCCCTGAAGGAGGTATACCTCAACGAACGCCGTTTCACATGGTCTAACGAGCAATCCCCCCGACCCTGGTGCACCTGGACCGGGTGCTATGCACGTCCGATTGGGAGGATGCGCACACCGATTGCCATCTGCGCTGCCTCGCATCAGTCGTATCGGACCATTGCCCCCTCCTACTGGACTGCTCGCCCACACCGACGGCCCATCGGCGCTTCCACTTCGAGGATTACTGGCTGCGCCTGGACGGGTTCCACGACACGGTCGCTGCGGCTTGGGGCTCTGTCCACGACCCCGACCCCTTCCGGCGTCTTGTGTTGCGCCTACAGGCCACAGCCCGACGGCTCACAAGCTGGAGCGCCAAGACCACCGGCAACATCCGAGACAAGATGGCCATCTGCCGGGAACTCATCTTGCGCTTCGACAAGGCCATGGAGGACCGCGTGCTCTCACCGCCGGAAGATTGGCTGCGCAAGCAGACCAAGATCGCCTACCTCGGCCTTGCCTCCATGGAGCGCACTATCGCCAGGCAACGATCACGCATCGCCAATCTCAAGGATGGAGACGCCAACACCAGCTTCTTTCACCGGCAGTGCTCCTACCGCCAGCAGAAGAACCGCATGCACTGCATCACCGTCAACGGGCAAGTACTCACAGGCCACGAGCAGATGGCTCAAGCGGCCTTCACGCATTTCGACGGCTTGCTCGGCACTGCCGTCAACAGGGATCACACGCTGGACTTGTCCCAGCTCATCGAGCCATCTGACCTGGCGTGCCTCGACGCACCATTCAGCCTGGAAGAGATATGGGACGTAATAAAGCGCATGTCGCCGCGTAAGGCGCCGGGGCCCGATGGATTCACAGCAGAATTTCTCCGGGCGTGCTGGAGCATCATCAAACAAGACCTGCTTGATGTCTTCCAACTGCTGTTCGAGATGCGTGGGCGCGGCTTCAGCAAACTGAACCAAGCGCTCCTGATGCTACTACCCAAGCGTGCTGATGCCCATCAACTTGGTGACTACACGCCGATATGCTTTATCCATCTTGTGGCCAAGATCTTCGCCAAGGCCCTATCGCTGCGTCTCGCCCCAAAGCTGGACAGCCTGGTGAGCCGCAACCAAAATGCATTCATCGCCGGCCGGAGCCTCCACGACAATTTCGTCCTCGTCAGGCAATCACTAAGGCTGCTGCACCAACTGGGAGCTCCGAGGACCATGATCAAGCTCGACCTAACGAGCGCCTTTGACTCCCTGTCATGGCCCTTCCTCTTCGAGGTTTTGCGCCAGTACAGATTTGGCGACCGCTTCAGGGAGTGGATCGCAATCCTCCTGTCCACGGCCAGCACCCGCGTCATGCTCAACGGGGAACCCGGCCCGCCAATCTGGCACCGTTGCGGACTGCGCCAAGGAGACCCTGTATCACCCCAGCTCTTCGTGCTTGCCGTCGACACCCTCGGTCGCCTCATGAGGCACGCCTTCCAGGAAGGTATTCTGCAACAGCTACATCCTTGACGCGACATCCCGGCTATCTCACTCTACGCCGACGACGTGATGCTATTCTGCAACGCCAAACCCGGGGATGTCGACACAGTCAAAGGGATTCTTCACATGTTCGGCACGGCCTCTGGCCTACAGGTGAACTATGCCAAAAGCTCAGCTACGATCCTTCATGGCACCGATGAGACTGCAGCATTGATAGAGCAGCTGGGATGCCTGGTTGCAGACCTGCCTATCAAATACCTCGGCATCCCGCTGACGACGCGACGCCCCTCTGTTGCCATGTTGCAACCCCTTGTTGACTCAGTGGCTGGGCAACTTCCAGCGTGGAAGGCGTGGCTGATGAATAGAGCAGGGCGGCTGGCCATGGTGAGATCAGTGCTAAGTGCCATACCCGTCCATCAAATGCTGGCACTAGCGCCCCCAAAGAAAACCCTGCGACAAATCGAAAGGATCCAGCAAGGGTTTCTCTGGGCGGGACGCGCGGCTGCAAACGGGGGACACTGCCACGTCAACTGGCGACATGTCTGTCGCCCGATCGAATATGGCGGACTCGGAGTTCGCGACCTGGAGCGCGCCGGGCTGGCGCTGCGCTTGCGCTGGCTCTGGTTCGCCCGCACAGACAGTGAGCGCGCGTGGCAAGGCCTAGACCTGCAGTTCACCGCCGATGAGCGAGCCCTTTTCTTCGCATCCACATTCATGGTGCTTGGAGACGGCTCGACTGCCCTTTTTTGGGAGGACCGATGGCTGCACGGGCAATCCATCCAAGAGATCGCGCCCCTGCTCTACGAGTGTATCCCCATGCGACGCCGCAAGTCGACAACTGTGGCTGCCGGCATCGCCGGGAACGCGTGGGCGCACAACATTCATGGCACCCTCGGGGTCCACGAGATCGGGCAATACCTGCTGCTGTGGCAGGACGTGATGCGCACGACACTCTCCAACGAGCCGGACAAGCTGCGCTGGAAATGGTCTACAAACGGGACTTACTCCACGCAATCATGCTACTTGGCCACTTTCTAGGGATCGACGGCCTGCCACTCCTGGAAGCTCATTTGGAAGAGCTGGGCACCACCGCGGGTGAAATTTTTTCACTGGTTGGCTAACCAAGACCGGTGTTGGACCGCAGACAGGCTTGCTCGTCGAGGACTACAGCACCACCCCCGCTGCCTCCTTTGCGACCAAGCGCCCGAGACGATCCAACACCTGCTGCTTGCGTGCCCCTTTGCCCGTCAGACATGGCACGCAACCCTGACATGGCTACGCATCCCGGCCCCTGTCCCGGAGCACGAGGCCAACCTCATGGACTGGTGGCTGCGCGCGAAGGAGGCCACGCCAGTAGGATTGCGCAAAGCCCTGCAGTCCGTCGCCCTACTAGTGTTGTGGATGCTCTGGAAGCATAGAAATGATTGTGTCTTCGAGCAAGCGAGACCATCTCCCGAACAGATCCTGGACAAGATCAAAGCGGAGCTCAGCTCCTGGGCCTCAGCAGGGGCACAAGGACTCACGGTGTTACCACAGTCATGGGACGTCCACTGATCCTAGCACCTGCTATGTAATTCCAGCCTCCTAGGAGGATTGTACTCGTACACCCCACCTTTTCAATGAAATGAAACGCAAAGGCCTTTTGCGTTTTCTCGAAAAAAATATCTGTCATGGAACTTAATTCAATCTTGGAGAATTAGAACACGCTTAACTGACAGATGACCTTCAACAAGAACAATGCAGCTAGGTCTACATGAATGGTAAATAAAAATCAAATTTGCAAAACAGTGGGCACCTCCTCTCAAAGATTACAAGAGTGCTTGGTTTATCTGATATCACAGAGTGCTTCATGTTTGCAGGAAGATAAGCATAAGAGTCTACCTGCAACCATCATCAAGTCATTTATCAAATCAAACCATCCTGGTCAAGCTTTACTTCTTAAAGGTTGTTCAAAAGAGGCAACAGTCAGGGGAAAAAATCATGATTGTGGGATGAACTACGTTGCTTCAGGAGAACTTATATGCCACTGGATAGTTCCCAAGAACCACAGTCTGTAGTTGACAACATTGCATGAGAAAAACCGTAGTGGGTTTTTGCAAAGACCATTTTGCCCCAGTGAGTATGAGGAGGGGAAAATGAAAGAGCCAAATGGACTTTTCCTATTGTTTACTGCCAAAGAATCATAACTGATAAGTGGCAGTTTCATTCATCTAGCCATGTCAAATAATGAAAACAATGTTGAATCTGAAAATTTAATAATACCATACACAGTTCCTGTTTTATAAATTTGACTGTTATTATCTGTTCACAAACTTTGATGTAATATCACTATATCAGCATCGGATTTCAACCTTTTGTAGTCTTTATTTCACATTTTTACAAGTTCAAACATGCTATGACAATATAACAACAAACCAAGACTAGATAGACCAAGATACATGATCACCACTGAGACACTGTATTACAAGATCACAATCTGCTATGATGGTATATATGATGATAAGGTCAAATATAATTCTTAGTAACAAATAGAAAGAATATCAATGAGCTGGGTATGAGTCTGCCTTGAAACAAACTGATGTGCGAAGAAATGCATAACTGAACCAAAAACAATTCCATATGAACCCCGCAGGTTGTTATGGAATCAGTGATATTTAAAGTACCCCAATTCTTTGTTAAATACACAATTAATTTGATAAAAAAATCACAAAAAGCATGCATTCATGTAATCTTACCAACATGGAGTGGGTTGTTCCGCTCTCCACAGACAATGCAATGCTGCCTTGAACTACAAAGATAAGCCTGGAAATAAAATGGGAGCGCTGGAAATCTCATTAAGGAGGTGGTGATAATTCCAAGTCAGACAAGGAGAAGGATGCTGACAAATGAATTAATCCCTCCGTTAATCTATGTCTGAGTGTTTAACTAGCAAGTTAAGCATTGAACCTTTCAACATCTTTCGGTGGTAAGGCTGATTTTGATCCATCTGCATAATGCAACAAGGACCTTAATAGGCTGCTTTTGCCAACAACTTAGTTCCAGCAAAATAAATATGACATGTGATGATGTACAAGAAAAGAAAGGACTTTAAACTGAGCGCTACCGAGCTTGGCAATTTTGGCCCGAGAATGTAGTACATATCCAGATGTACAAAAGTTGCTTAAGTCATGTATGATTATATATAAAAAAGTTAGAGCTATCATTATTGTTCCCATACATGAACAAAAATACTAGATCCAGTAAATAAGCATCTTATCATCCAACTTGATGTTTAGCAACTATATTGACTAGTATTTTGTCTTATGAGTTGATATATGCAGTTACTCCCTCCGTACGACACTTATTTTGGAACCGAGGGAGTACATATGATTATAGCATTCTTTGTAACCACATGACAGTAAATGGGATAAACAACACACCTTGCATGTTTGCCAAGTACATAGTGAAGTGTGCACCAAGAGCTGGGCTAATCAAATATGCTCCTAACGTGTTGGTCCTAGAGAGAATAAACGGTTGGTGTTAATATAGCCACATAATTTGCATAGAAATTAGAGTACACGGGAAAGACAGAGCCTTACCAATCAGGCAAAGGACTGAATACATGGCTTTCTGGTGTTATTAAAGCATGATCCTTTTTGTACACACTACGTGTGAAGCCAGGTAAATCTGGAGATCCACAAAATGAACAAAATTAGCATTAACTGGACAATGTATAAGAGCATCCATCTTCAAGAAAATAAAACCATAGCTTAATAGTAAATGATGACGAAACTCTCGAGGCTCTAAGCCTATGCATACAGACAGAAGCAATAACTGGAATGAATATATAGGATTCTTAGCAAGGGTGTGACAGGACAATCTAAAATTCATAGCTGGAAGGCAATCTACTACAATTAAAATAAACAAGATGAACTGGAGAGACTGCAGATGGTATCATTCTAGTTCTAGTCCCATAAGAGTGGAATATGAGACACAGTTTGCATGAACAATCAAGCAGTACTTAGTGCACAGCTCAATTACTCAAGGTCTCAAGTCTCATCACAGGAAAAAAACCATTAAGAGCATCTCCAACAGATTACTAAAAATTTGGTGCCCTAAAAACGATTTTAGGTGAGGAGAGAGAAGATTTTAGGGCACCAGAAAAGTTTTTTCTTTTCTAGATGCCCTAAAATTTGAAAAATGAACTAAAAGCACATAAATTCATTGCTCGAACTATAATACGAAATGTTGCACATTAAACATGAAACGACAAACTTAAACACTACCACTCTCATAGATCCCTAGCAGTACATTGTGATAGACCTAACTATACGGCGTAGCGTGATGCTGGCAGTAGTCGTCGAAGTCCTTATCGGAGGAGATGTCCATCACCCCGGTGCCAGAGGGGCCGGCCTCGTATTAATAGGTCATAGACCTACCCGACGGCTTCACCTCCTCCTCCTCCTCCTCGGAGAGCTCCATCTCGAGCTGGTCGAACAACTCATCGACCTTGGCTTCGATCTTGTGATTCTCCTCCTTATGCAATTTCTTGTGCTGCGCCTCCTCCTAGGAGTATGCAATGTCTAGCGCAAGGAGCTCCAGATTGGCGTCAATGAGCTTCGCTATATAGAGTGCATCGTCGGCCTTGGCGTTGTGGCTTCTCTTCCTTATGGGAAGGGCGATGAAATCCACATACTCGGCCTCCTCGGCGAAATTGAGCACCGCCGGTGCCGGAAGTACCGGAGCGTTCGCACGTCATACATGCTCGCCACCTGCTCCGCGGTATCAAAGGTGCCGAGCCACTTCATCTCCCCCATATCGGGGTTGCGGATCTCCACCGCGAAGTGGCACGACGGCCAGCGCCACACGCCATGGTACGGTGTGGAGTTCGCAGCTGGCAGGCGCGGAAGCAGTGGCGGCTGGGAAATCTCCCACGGTGATGGCGGAGGAGCTCGGCAGCAGGGAGGACGTACCCGGCGGCAGCGAAGATGGGGGTGGCCCGATTCGGGCGGCGACGACGGCGGCTGTTGCGGAAGCTCGGGCTGGCTGCAACTAGATGACGGCTGGATTCGTCGGCGGGATTGGCCGGCGGGGTGGCGGCGATGGCGTAGGGCAGCTGAAATCTGGGACGGCGACAAGGTAGCTGCCGGGATTAGTTTCAGCGGGGGTGGTTGGGTTCGTGCGGCAGTATTTTCATTTTTGTGGCAGCCGCTAGAGGTATTCCAAATATGCAACACTTGTAGCAAAATTTTGGGCCTGATGTTAAAAATTTGGGGCACATATAGGTATAGGGCATCATCTGTTGGAGACGGGTTTTTTTTTTACCCAAAGTGACCCAAATGGCAGTTGTTTGGGCACGGCGGTTGTTTTACATCATATGTTGGAGATGCTCTAAGTAGAACAACGGAACAAGATATTCGAACCTGGTTTTCCTCACATATGCACCCATGACACTATTGCACCTACCATTTGATCTAGCATCATCACCTCCACAGTGCTACCAAGTCATAAAACCACCACTAAATTGCAATCCTGCATCCAGTGGAAGAGCTTGTATGATCTAAAAATGTGGAAAAGGAGTGGCCCCTACTGCACCACAGGGACAACATACAATCATTATAGTTAGGATGCATCCGTTTCCCAAGAGCTCGCTATTTGTGTGGACCATCACTATCTTTTTTTTTCGGGAATATGCATTGTTGCGTATCATTGCATTGATAGGGTAGAAGAGTGACAAGCGCGTACAACAGAGAAGGGTGGGGAGCAACTCCTCGAGCCGTACACAAGCTGGCGGCTCGAGGAGTGCGAGATGAGCATGATGGAGGGTGCTCAGCCTCGACTACCACGATCGATCGGGTTACAGGGATAACAATCTGTAGACCGTTGGCGCCCTCACGGGCCCAAAGCTTCGCCTCGTCTTTGACCACCCACAATAGCACCGTGTTAGACGGCCGCTGCCCATCAAAGACGGCGGCGTTGCGATGTTTCCAGGTTTCCCAAGCAATGAGCGCGACAAGGGAGTTGAAACCTTTCCGCAAACCGGCCGGGTAAGTGCCGACCGTGGCCTCCCACCACTGGAAGAATCGTGCGGTGTCACTGGGCAGGGAAATTGGCAGTCGACACCATGAGAGGACCTCACGCCACGTGATCCGAGAGAAAACACACCGGACAAGCAGGTGGTGAATAGTCTCGAGCTCCTGGGCGCATAGCAAGCATGCGGGGTCGTGAGGCAAGCCCTGGCGTGCTCGACGCTCGGCCGTCCAACAGCGGTCGTGGGTAGCCAACCAGAGGAAAAACTTGGCATTCGTGGGCGCCCAAGTTTTCCAGACGAGGCGCCAGAAGGGCGCAATAGTGGAGCCGGAGAAGAGGGCGTTGTAGGCCGAGGTAGCCATGTAGGATCCACTGGCCGTCCATTTCCAGGTGATCGTGTCAGGGCCCGCCGACAGCTGAACAAGCTGGATGCACTGCCACAGGCGAAAGTAGTCTATCGTAGCCACCGGTCCGAGGAAGCCATGGATGTCGCGGATCCAGGATTGCTGATGTAGCCCGTCGCAGACCAGACGCAGGCGCCGCCTACGCCGAGGAACAAGCGCAATGATGGACGGTGCAATCTCAGCTATGGATTGGCCATCCAGCCAATGGTCGCACCAAAAGTGGCAAGTCCTACCGTCCCCAATGCGCCAGGTCATGGAGGCCCGGAAGAATTAGTTCACTTCCTCGTCGATGCGAAGGTGCAGGTGGCTCCAGGGTCGCTCTGGGTCAATCACTTGCAGCCCAAGCCAGCGCGCCCGAAGAGCGATGCTCGAACGGTGCAGGTCGCGGATGGCGAGCCCACCGAACGACAGGGGTCGACAGATGCTCTAAGAAGAACAATGGAACAAGATATTCAAACCTGGTTTTCCTCACATATGCGCCCATGACACTATTGCACCTGCCATTTGATCTAACACCATCACCTCCACAGTGCTACCAAGTCATAAAACCACCACTAAATTGCAATCCCGCATCCAGTGGAAGAGCTTGTATGATCTAAAAATGTGGAAAAGGAGTGGCCCCTACTGCACCACGGGGACAACATACAATCATTGATATGACTAATAATCAAAACATCCTTCTCATTTCCTTGGCTGTATACTTAGTAGCATGCATCCATTTTCCAAGAGCTCGCTATTTGTGTGGACCATCACTATCGCTCCATCAGTTAAATTAGGCCATAGAATGTATTCCATCCGTCCCATAATGTAAGACGTTTGGTTTTGTCATGCTATGTATGATGGTGTTGGTGCTTATTGTGACACATGACTACTTTATTGAGCGAATTGATACATGACTGCATGAGTGATCATCATATAAAAAACAACAACAACATTTTCTATGGCCACGGGCATCCTAAAATCGGAAAATCTGAGTAGGGGGCGACACAGTGCGCCCGAGTGTGGTCGTGTAGAGGTACAGTACCTTGAAAATGCACGGGTGCGAGAGTGGGACTGGTGACCTTCGAGTAGAGCGGCGGCGACTGAGAACAATCGTTTGACGGTTCCGCCGAGCAGAACCCCTCGCCGGCGCCGGCCGCCGCTGCGCCCCCGAGGGAAGCGAGCGCAAAAAGGAGGAGGTGGTGGCCTGCGGGGACCATCTCGCGCAGCGCAGGTGTGCTGCAATGAGCCCGCGAGGTTCTGGGATTGGGACAGGGGAGGAGTGGTTGGTTGGAAGACGGCGAAGGAGGAGAAGGCCGGTCGCGAGAAGAGCCGGAGCGCACAAATTTTATTTTATTTTTGAGAAATGCCGGAGCGCACAAGTGGGTGGGTGGCGGCTACTTCGTAGAGCCCACTATGATGACTCGGATTTCATGAGGCCTTTCGTCGTTCCTAGCGGCGTTTGTTCGATCTTTTTCCTTCGAGTCCCTCTGTATTTATTACCTTGGTGTCTTTATTATCGAAAAAGGCTTTTGTCTCATTTTGTAAATAAAACAAATCATCGAAGCTACAAATCTGACAATAGTTCACACCGCACACGCACACAGAAGGTAGCAGAAAAGACAGAACAAATAGGGTACAAAGGTTCTGTTGAGGACACGGCTCAAGAAGCCCTAAAAGAAAAAACGAAACCGCGATGGCAACAACAACAAAAGGCACAAGGCCTAATCCGGCTCTGGAGGTAGGAGGAAGCGGAGGCGCCAGTCTCATGGCCATTGAGCGAAGATCTGCAATGATTATGTTGATGGCGTCCCGATCCTGAGGGCGGCTAAGCGGCCGCCAAAGCTGCATATACCCACAATTTTTAAACACCATGTCAGTACCACGTTGAAGAGGAATTCATTGGATCACAAGTTTATTACGAACGGTCCAAAGTGTGCAGGAGAGCACCCCAATGCCCAACCATCTAATGTGGTGATCTCGTTGGAGGAAGCCTAGATCTCTGTAAATAGGTCAAGGAAGTTGGTGTGGCACCACTGTCCACCGACCGCTTCACGGAAGCAACTCCAAAGGAATTGAGCGGAGACGCACGTGAAGATGTGGTTAGAGTCCTCCTCCGTCCGCATAGGGGGTAGAGTCCGCCACCAGGGCCATTCCGCCTGAGCACCTCTACTCCAGAGGGGACTCAGCCCCGAATCCATTGCGAGAGGGAGATGTGAATCTTCAGAGGGAGTCTAATCACCTAAATCTGGACAAATGGCGCGGGAGCAAGAACAGACGCAATAGCCTGGTAGAGAGATTTGGTTGAGAACCGGTCGGATGTCTCCAAGCGCCAGGAGATGTGATCGAGCGATTGATCCACGCCAAGGGGATGCAGGGCGATGCACTCAAGAAGGTCCTCCCAGGAGGCAAGTTTCAGGGGTCCAAATGACCTCCGGAATGCGAGATGCCCTAAGTCAATAAGGGTCATCTCGACGAAGATTCTAGGTTCGGCCACAATGTCGAACATGGCTGGGAATCGTGCGGTGAAGGGGGTGTCCCCGACCCACCTTTCCAGCCAGAATAGGGTGGAGGCCCCTAATCCCACCTCAATGGAGGTCCGAGTGCGAAGGACCCTGGATGACCGATTGCTAGAATTGGAAGCCGCCAGACCGCTGATAAAAGGCTAGCGGCTGCCAACAAAGGTATTTGTTCCGGATGATGTCCAGCCAGAGGCCGCCCTCACCATTCACGATCCGCCACAACCAACGCATTAGCAAGGCGATGTTCATGCATTTAGACGACATGATCCCGAGGTCGCTTTGGTTACGGGGCTTATAGATGTCGGGCCAGCTAACCATATGGTATTTCTGTTTGTCCCCCTCACCGGCCCAGTAGAAGTGCCCTTGATATTTTCCGATCTCTTGGTGGAGGGTCTCGTGGATACTGTAGAAGCTCATGATGAACAGGAGCAAGCTGGAGAGGGAGAAGTTAATGAGCATTGTCGGTGTTCTGGGATCGGGGGTACCCAGCCTTGCCTGCCTGCAGCCCAGGACGCGGCCCCATCGCCGGCCCGGTACGGCCCAACTACAAGACCTCCAAGACAAGACCCTCGCGAGGGCCCCAGCCTCGCGAGGTGAACGACGCCAAGACCTCCCGAGAGGCGGCTCTCCGAGCCTACCTCCCGAGGAGCGGAGACTTCTATCACTACTGGAATTAGAAGATTTGCCATCAGCCACTTCTTTACCATCTGCTAGCAGACGACAAAGGATGGCTTTATCGTCAACTTCCAAAAAACAGACGGCAAAGAGCTCGCTGATGGCAAATGTCATATTTGCCATCAGCCATTTCTTTGTCGTCTGCTAGCGGACAACAAAGAGGGAGGTTGGCCCACTAACAAGCAAACCCTAACGGCCCCACTCTTTGTCGATGACAAAGGCGTGGCAGATGGCAAACACTTAATTTAACTAACGGTCGCGCCCCACCCCGTCCCCCTCTCTCTTTGTTTCTCACCCTCTTCCTTCCCGCCCACCACCGCCGACCCCACCACCCGCCACTGCACCGTCGCCCTGCCACCCCACCACCCGACCGGCCCACCTCCCCGACGCCACCGCGGCCCTGCCGGCTCGGCGCCGCCGCGCCACGCCCCCCTCCCCCC